CAGTTGCATACTTAAAGAACAATATATTGCGCAAAATTTGAAGAAGTGTCCAAGGATCAGACAACAGTTCCTCAGGGTCGAAGGACTGACGAAGTCCATTGGATAGGAAATTAAATACGATATTACAAGCGCAGCCGTAACAACAATATTTAGTGGAAGTAGTACAGAACTGTGTAGCCTGAAAATAAAGTTGGTTAGGAGGGTACACTATGAGAGTTTCGCCGGGAGGGATGTTGGGTTGGCCATCTGGGATATATTCGAGGACAGGTGGCACATTTAGTTCAGCAGAGGATGCGGCCACACGGAGATCGCTCAGTCTGACGTCGGGGTTGTCAACACCGAGAGTGCTTGGGTCCAGTGGCGGTGGAAGGCTGCGGTGAATGCAGTGTCGGATTCCATATTGAGCAAGGGGCTTTATTAACAGTTATTATACTATATTTTATAAATTATTAAACTGTATTGACTCTTCTTCGGAAAAATGGTTATATTAATATATTTTCGGTGTCAAATATAAATTCAAACGGGTGTGCGCATTGGGGATATGGATACAATAAGTACTCTTGTAGATGAAGCACAAATAGGATAAAAGCAACGGCGCAAGATAAGTGAAAAATAAGTTTTTGTATAACTTATGTATCTAGAAAAACCATGTTTGTATTTTTAAACCTAGTTCGGACGTGCCAAAAATGCTCTGGGAAAGAAAAGATTTACATATGTATGTATAATTGTAACATACGTATTTCTGTTTTTTTTGTTTTATCTAGGAGCTCCGGTACAGAGACTCGTCGGTACCTTGAATCTTGGCGGGTCCCGAATCATGAGTCATGCTTCCGGCAATTCATATCAGGTCTTTATTTCAGTCCAAGCCAGCTTTGTTTATACAAGAACAGGCATAGCCTCCTAAAAAGTAAACCAACCAAACATACTGGTAGATATTTGAACGCGCAAGCAATTGCCGAAGAGTAAATAATATACAGCTGATATAGTGAATTCGACTGTGAAGTATGTTCGTAAAGTGTGTGTTGATAGCCACCAAGGTCATCACTGATCCCATTCAAGCCGTTTGCAAGTCCAGCAAGATTTTGCACCTATTTTAGTTGACCACGTTAATCCTGATCAAGTTCATCAATAAGTGATACGATATTCGACACACATCTTACTGTCGTTCTCCCGCCCACACAGTCCATTCAAGGACGACAAGTTCATTGTACATAGAGCAGAAAACATTTCATTTGTACGCAGCATAGCCCTCAATATAGAACAGAGAACTATCGGCAAATGATGTAGATGAAACTTTCGGTCCGTAATGTGCCAATTTTTGCCATAAATCATGCGGTCGCGCACAATCCGCTTTTTCTAATTAATCCTGTCTCGGATTGCAGATCCTCAACTAGTTTGTTATACAATTATCAGTTGTGACACAAATTCTATTTCATACCTATATCATATAACGCTTGTCCAAACCATCCGTGTGCGTTGTGTATGATTGTAAGCTCCAATGTCGAGATGGTGGTTTCCGCCCGCCATAGCACGCGCAACGTTGAAACTTTTTCGTTGGAAATTCATTTGACCCGGCAATACAAGTAGGAATCCATTCCCTGTTAGAAAATGCCGTATGCAGACAGCAAGTGCGTGCAGTGTGTGCGCGAGCGTGAAGAATGTTTCAGATGTTAGCTCATCTTTCAGTGCACGCCTACCCAAGCCTCATTTACGACCTGGAGTATCATTTGTATTTCCAGTGATGTCTACATCGTCCCTGATCATAACCAACAGATAATTTTTGGCCAGCAGCATCGACTCCGAGAGTTCTGCCTAACCTGATATTCAAGTCGTGACCACTAATAACTTTTTATATAGACGAGTCGTCTTCAAATATCTGCAGTAAAATACATATGTAATACACATTTTCTAAACAACAACTTGTGCAAAAGGCTTTTATTTCTAAAACACGTTATTGTCACATCTGTATTTAGCATATATACACATACATGGCTAAAACAAGCCAAATTCTATATTAACGACTATTTGTACGAAAATATGCCCATTAATACATAGATCTGCATGTGGACGCAAATATTTTCTTCTGAATTCTAAAACTAATAAAGATATAAAGTATCCGTGGTTATATGGTACGAATTAGTGCCAATATTCGTGCAGATTAGTGAAATGGGCAAGAACTCTAAACTATCTCAAATACGGCCATCATCGTCGTCGTCATCCATATTCACATTACTCGCAGCGTTTGGACTATCCGCGAGTATACCGGCATACCATTGATTCTGTAGCCAATCCGCAATTTCTTCTGCCTCTTATAGGCGTGGATCATTTGGAGATTTAAACGTTTATGTTTACCCTTCATAGAACTCACTACGCGAAACTGCTGGATAATGAAGCTTTGAATCGTCTCCAAAAACAAGTATGTTCCCGAAGTTACTTTATCGAATTCACATCTAAGTGCATTAGATAACTCGGGCGTAAATATTAGAGGTGCGGGGAATACTTGCTGTCTCTCTGAGAAAACCGATGGCGCGTCGGTCACGGTGTGCAGGCAACGATATAGAAATGACTGGCATCGATAAGGAAGAGAGCCCAGTAGTGTTGACCGAGGATGACCAATATTAGGACCAATGAGGATGACGCTCTTCAACCCACAAGGACTCAACATGGACAACGCAGCACATACAGATAAGTGTCTGAACGTTGTATCGATTTTGAGTCAGGTTGATGTTCTGTGTGTGGTTGAAACCTGGCATAACACCACATTTCTTAATCATATACGTTCGAACACACACTACCATGTTCTACATCACGCTACACGACATAATATCTTACACCCTTCACACTGTGGTATTGGCATTTTTTCCAAACACCATCCATCGAAATTTCAACTTGTACATTCCTCACCGTACGCGGTGTTCTTTGTGTGCTTTGGGCGTTCATATGGCCGTGTTCTACCTTCTACTCAAATTACTTACTGAAGAAGACGTCAGGCTATACATGAATCCCCCCGAGATTGGCAATTTCCAACCAGATGTCGTTTGGGGAGATTTCATTTTCAAAGCCCAGAAGTATGGCCATACATCCACAAATCACGGACTACGTATGAAAACGATCGAGACTACTCTGCGTAATACGTGGCACTTGGACTACCTCCATGCTGGCGGCTCAACTGGTACAGAACATGCGTATCATCGGCCTACCACCTCCGCCTCCCTCCAGATCTATAAGCAGAAGGACTACGGTATCTGTGGTGACCACACCTTTGGACTCGATCTCCAGATACTTCCAATGAATCAAATCCATCGGCCCCAACAAATGCCAACAATGCCGCCGCCTCCGAACCAACGCCTCCCCTCTCGTGGATATAACCGATACCGCCATCGACTGTATCACCTACGCAACAAATCCCGCGCGCGACTATTCCAAGCCAAAATCCGGGCACATCAGAACCTACTACGGTCGGATTTAACTTTGTACGGATCAGCGGAAGGGCAGCTACGAATCCTCGACCGCATTTGGCGCTATGCCGCTAACTCACAAATCTTCGAGGGTTTCTACTATGACTTAAACAGACCCTGGGTTCAGCGGCTGCCAAACCATTCGTTCCGCCCACGTCTGACCGCCCAAAGCAATGCTCAAATGTTCAAATATATTGCGTACCAACGACGGTCTCCGCGCCAACCCTGCATACCGGGTGCCGATGACACAGGCGCTACCCTCGCTGGCTACTTTGAGGACCTATTCAACTATACAAACCTGTACGTGGTTCCACCGGATACCGAACCCTCGCCCGATGTCGCTTCCACCATACGCCCTGACAATGTAATGGAGGCTATACTACGATATCCCTATAAGGGACCTGGCCCCGACGGGATTCACATCCTCCTCCTGGAGACCGCAGTGGAGCGCTCCACCGAACGCAGGACATTAGGACGCCCCGACGCCAATAGCCCACTGATTAGACTCCTTGCCGAAGCATTCACTGAGCTACAGAAGGCGGGTACCTTCCCTGCAGCCCTGAACTGCAGCCTCCTGACAGCGCACCCAAAGAAAGCTGATGCAGATGTAACCCCTCCCCCGCCTAGTCAGACGCATCTTTGAAAAGTGCTTTCTTAAGCTGATTGCGAGCCACCCCAGCTCTGCTACCCATGCTACCCAAGCTGGCTTCAAATCACGATACTCCTGTCATACCCAAGCATTCGCCGCCATGGAATCTGAGACATAGTCAGAAGAGGAGTGGAACGACTTCTGTCTGGACATTACCAAGGCATACGACAATGTTGCTCTCCCACGCCTATGGGTACTCCTGCGCCACGTTGGAATGCCCGAAAACTGGATCAACTGCCTTTGCGCGCTATTTGAGAGGGTCCCTACCCGAGTGACATACCGCTGCACGCTCGTGCCTCTATTCCATATAACGAATGGCATTCTACAAGGCTCAATCGTCGGCCCCCGGCTCTTTACTATCTACACGGATTCCTTAACTGTCACGCTAGCACAATTTCGGCCCAAGCTCCTCCGCTCTTATTTATTTGTCGATGACACACGGATCCAAGCCCCCCAACCGGTTCCGCTCCAGCCCTTCTTAAGCGACATTGATGCGTGGGGACGCAAATCTGACCTCGAACAGGGTGTCATTGAACCCTGAGTACAAAAAAAATTCCAGTTGGGACCCACAGCCACAAATGTTGGGCCAGGCCAAACCCCCAACTAAGTCGTTCGTCACCAAGGACTCCTTGCCCAATGACTAATAGAAATTGGACTTACAAAAATCTATCACAGACCTCTCTATCCAGGTTAATACTCTACAGGCCAATCTCAACCAAATATCAGGACCGGCTCTACCAAACCCGAACAATGAGGGCCCATTTCCAAGAAGCCTCTAGCTGACGACCAATGGAAATCCACCATGCATCAAATGCTCACTAAACTATGTGTCAAGGTGAACAACCTCGAATCCGAACTCCGGGACCTAAAATCCCAAACCTGTGCACCTCTAAATGAAGGCACACCCCACACCATCCGAACCGCGGCCGAGGGCACCCAATAGCAGCAGTGAGCCTTCCAGCTACTGCTCAAAAGGAGACAAACCCGCAAAACCTAGCCCCAAAAAACGACCGACCACACCAGCTTCTCAACCCCTACTGCAGTCGCCAGTACCCACACACCTTTTGACGAAAGTGATGGGCCGCCCGATGCCGGACAAAACTCTCCACGAAATGGATGACGTAACTCCGGTATGGCTCTTCTCTCGGGCAATTTTTCCTAACGGCAAACCTCCATCCCAATCAGAATTTGAAAATTACTGGCACGCTCTACCGCTCCTCAATCGCCATCACTTCTTTTGGTATCTCCCGTCCAAACTGATTTCTCAACTAAATCGCCACGGGAGTTCCACCAGTTTCGTCCGCCTTTGTGTTCCTAGTGACGCTGTTGCCCAGGTGAAACGACATGCAACACTTACGTGGAAATGGCAGTTTGATGAAACTATCGACCCACGCTCCAAACATTATCCCGACTCTACGAAAGTAGCTTCAATCCACTATCTTCGTACCAAGCGGGAGGCTCGCTGCACACATGAACGAGCGCCAAAAGTTCTTGCCAGCAGCATGGATGCACTACTGAACCCCCTTGTCAGCTCCACTTGTAACTTATCTCTTTTGAAATAAATAAGATTATCTCTACAACGGCTATGAGAGACATTGTAACCTAGCTTTTTGAAATAAATGATATTATCCCTACCATGGTCGCTACGGGTACCATGGTTTGAACTGTGTAAGTCACTGTTACAGGTGGAACCACTGTTAGTTCCACGAACACCACTTATGTTTTCGAGGTACGCGAAGTATGCCTGCGGGGAGATGCCGTGGGGCCACACAGTGATTGCAAGGTTGGGGCCGACCACGGGCTTTGTATTCGACGAGTCTTCTCAGGAACGCCACGTTCTTTGCTATATCACAGATGTCTGGGTACGTCCCGTGAGATACCGGTCGCTCTATCCAGCACTGAGGCACAACAAGCTTTCGCGAATACTACACCAGCAGAACAGCAACGTCGGACAAACAAGGATACCACGGTACGTCGGACACGGTAGACCAGCTACAACTGAACGGTCATGCTGACCAGGTGAACAGAAGCTAAACGACAGTGTAGAGCGTGTTTGGGCTAGTACACTCTGAAAGGATTCCATCCTATGATTGGCATCGACACCCGATATCCGTGAAATAATATCCAAGTGAACTATATCCCCATGCTAGTCATGTCACGGCGGAAGAATATTTTTTTTTTCACGTGTTGGACGTCGCTTCAGGATAATCAATCCCAAAGCGGCACCGAACAAGTCTAAAGATACCACTGCACAGACGTTGATGGCTATCTATGATGAACAAGGGTTCCCCCGTATGATGCAGTCGAATATGGGGTCGGAATTCGTCAACTAAGTGGGCTATTATGCGTTTGATTTCTCCACCATATAACCCACAAGTCTTAAGGACGACGGAATGGCAACACAAGGAGATCATCCGGTCGATATGAATATGCTGTGGAGCAATTCCTCAAGCATGGGACGAGCTTTTACCATTCACAATGTCATATCAGAACCTGCAGATCTCCCGGCGCTACAAGAGTGTACCTTTCAGCGTGTATATCGGTCGACGACACGTACTATTTGCGGATTTCATCAACGTCTCCCTGAATAGCCAGACAGTGACCAATAACTTTTGGGTCCAACGGTTGGACAAGCTGCCGGACGCCATTCTGCCGACACTCCCACTAGATCACCAAGTATACGGATAACCTCACGAAGACGTCTGATCGCCTACATGCTCACAACTTGGTTCATTTCAAAATAGGGGACGTGGTGATGGTGAAGTCGGAAGGCCCTAAAGGTCCGTTGTTTGGACCATATGTGGTAAAAAGCCCAGAATGGGCAGTTCTTCGACCTGTCCACGCAGGACAGATTGATGCTTATCGAGTTCAAAGGCCGACCTGCACGTGCCGAGCTCTTACGCTTAGCCCACAAGAACACTGACCATCTGTTAGAAAAGACTATATGGCGAGACGGTGGTTCAGCATTCCGACATATTATACGGCATCGCACCAACGACGACACTGACAAGGTTGAGTGTCTCGGGCGTTGGCGGGAAGGAGAACACCGACGTGGGGAACATAAGAAGCTTTTGATGACGCTAATGACATTGTGACATACCACAAAGACTCACAGACACCGTCGAAGAAACGGGTTTTATTTACCCAGCTGTTTCACTTAAACTTACAGACCCCGCTCGAGAGAGCAATAATAACCGAGTCCTCTAGCTCTCTGATGTTAAATGCCAGCCGAGCTCCAGCTCGCTGAGGATTAATGCCAGCGGATTCCTCATGTTTGTGATACTAAGTATAATTTTCCCTTTCTTTCTTTTTTAAGCTGGCACAAGTACCGTGCTTCAACTTTGGGGTGGGTGGGTTTGTGGTAATAATACTTAGGATTAAGATAATTTTAGGAATAAACTTGGTTTGTCCGATCCGATTTGCTGATCGGATTTTAAACACATGCCAACTTATCAAATTATATCTCACAAGCTAATAATTAATAAATAGACAACGACCCCCTTTGAATGAAGGAGGTTGTACGTTGAGGTGCTGTTATCTTGGCGTATTTACTACACCAACAATAACTAGACGCTCTTGTTGAAAAGTTGGATAGTTGATCTGTAATGTATTCGTAGCCCTGCTAAAGAACTGCACATACCTCACGTTCCCAAATTAGTTGATACAATACGCTGTAACTACCATGAACGGTATCCTATCTTTTGGTTGCTGGACGACTGTTTTGAGCTGCTTAAAGGCATCATCACATTTTTTTTTGTCTATAAAGATATTAATTTACCCTTGTGACACAAGTATTCAAAAGGCTTAAGATAACTTGCTAAATATGGAACTCCATCCGACAGACAGTTGACGAAACCCCACATGCTGCTCACGTTCTTGCCGGTGGTAGGTGTTCTTCATTCTAGTAAGTGTTCGATCTTTCCGATATCAATCATGATTCCTTCTATCTCGCTGACGCCAAATTGTCATTTCTTGCTACTGATTATACAGTTGTGTTTGTTCAATCTGTTTATGTCATGTTCTTCTTTGGTATTCGGCGATATATCTATACGTTATCCATGTCTAGAACCAAATCATGCATGATCTGTCGTAAGAACGCTGGTAACATGTGCACAACAAACGGTACCCCCTTAAACGAATATTTTTGCCCATCCTAGGTATTTGTGAATTACTTCCTATGCTGCTTAAATATCTTCATCTGGTGGTAGCCTTGCTTTAAATCGATAGTGGAGAAGCTTTTAGCTCCAACCATATGTCACAGCCATTCGATAATTCTCTGTAGGTGAGGTTTTTATCTTGGAATGAGTGCGTTTATTTTGCTCAAATCAAAACACACTCGAAATCATTCAGTGTCCCATCTGAAATAAAATGGTCTACTGCCAAGAGTGCCAGGTTTACGGGAGTGAGTTCGTAGTTGACTGCGATTACTCCAACTTCCAACCAGGTCTTGACTTGTTCTCTAACTACCTGTTCGTGACGCCAAGCTACGTAGTTGCGCGTCCGACGTTTTGACTTCGAAAAGTCTACGTTAGTAATGTCTAAAGCTCACATACCTGCTATTGAACTTGAACTTAGCCCAATCTTTAATCTTGAGCCCCAATATAAATTTCGAAGATCAAATCCCCAACTTTGTCTGTGACTGTAGATATCATATCTCTCACAGTCTTTGAAGGCTTATATACAAACTTCAGTAAGTTGTCATCTGACTAATCCTTCTGTGGGTCGATGTTGGTTGGTGAACATGGAATAGTTATACCTAACGACAACAAGACTCACATACCTACTATTAAATCATAATCTGTTGAGGTGTTGCTGTAAGTTTCGGTCTATCAAGGCGATATTAACGCCTTAGAGTAATTAAACGCTTAGGTTAAGTCTAAGTATAGTTAAATTCGAAATAAATAAACGAAATGAGTCTTTTGGTAAAATTTGGTATGCCTCGTGAAAACAGCAATACTCTGAGGGATTGTGAGGCTGAGACATTCCCTATATATAATCCTCTCAGTACTGTTTTCGCCGAAGGGATTTTATTTAGTGTTTCGTTATCGCTCTATTAGAAACTATGGTACGTTTCGTTGGGGCGAATCTGAGAAACTCATAAAATCCTATCTTTAGAAATATAAAAGAAAAGAAAAAAGAAAAAAAAATACTTTTGATGTCCTTAGTTATTTTGGGGCGAATCCGAGAGACTCATAAAATCCTATCTTTAGAAAATTAAAAGAAAAGAAAAAAGAAAAATTCTCTTGATGTCCGTAGTTATTGCATTAACCAATAACTTGCCACTTGTCAAGAATTACCGACTTAGCCTTCATCAGACTAGCACATATGGTTGGCTGAACGGAGGTTAAACTAGGTAACGCTATCAGTCCCTAGAAACCTATATTCGGTTGAGCCATCTCGCTACCGAAGTATTCAGATATAAACAGATTTGGAAAGTAAATATAGTTCTATTAATAGAACTAGACCAAATCTCATGTTTGGTATTTTACTGGGGCCTTTTAATGGCCTTGTCCAAATATCTGAAATGTAAAATGGAAAAGGTATTAATTAATAAAACCGTTAAAACCCATTTAGGAAACTTAAGTTTCTCGTACTATTAAGAGTACGTTTATAGTTTGCGTACTGCTTAAGAGAGCACGTTTATAACATAGAGTCTAATGTGGAGGCCCGGCTATTACATTACAGGCAACTGATTTTGTGACTGCCGTGAGTTGATCAGTAAATATAAACCTTAGATCTACGGCTATGTGTCGACACGTTATATCTCTCTCGTCAGCTAGCTTAAAAGTAGTAATTGCTGAGATACGAGCTGCATTCGTTATTTTACAAAAACCTGATAATATACATGTATTTGGCGAGCCCGAATCAACAACGCTTATATTTCATGCTCGTTAACATGGAGAACAGTGGCAAGTGGACTATCAAAGAGTGCAAGAGTGTGCTAAAAAGCGCTGGTTGATTGTGCTTCAAGGCTGTCTCGAAGAGCTTAGAGCTCGCGTAATTCTTCTACTAGACCTACAGAAGGAAGGACTGGGAGCTGCACTCGCATGCTCAAAGCCTAATGTCAGGAGATACCTCAATATGCTGAATTTCTCGGCGCGTACTCTACTGGACCCAGATAGTATGAGAGATAGTAGTGATCTAGCGCGTGCAGCGCTTGCAACTGTAGAGGATGCCTAAAGTATACGTACGCGTGTGCATACAATAGAGATAATAAAGCTTATCTACGTTGTTTACTATTGATTTTACCTAATAATATGACCTATTACCGATTTTACCAAATGATGACTCATAACCAAAATTTCCATCCTCAGAAAGCATGTTTGGCTTGTCTGATTTAGAGTGCTATGAACGGATCTAATGAAAGTTGTGGGCGCCAGTTTCAGGGGGAGGTAACGTGTGTTCCAAGGTGCGTCTGCAAGCGTCGGCGTGATAAGCTCACCATTTATACGGAGGGTTAGGTCCGCTGGAAAATCCTACGATTGCCCATTCAGAGTTATATTCTGAAGTTAGACGCTGACCTGAAACGTCTCGATATAACAAAGGACAAGGCACAGCGATGGTACGAATTCCTGGTTATGCACGTGTTCTGTAAGAACATAGGGAA